TTACGAAAGCTTAGAAGGGTAGCGGCAGCTTATCTGTGGACGGGGAACCCAGCCAAAGACAGCTTCATTCCCAAAGTAGCCTGGAGGCAAGTCATACAACTCAAGAGTAAGGGGGGGTTGGGCATCCTTGACTCGGAACAGCAGATAAAGGCACTCCAATCCAAGTGGATTATCAAGCTAATTTCTCAACCTCACCTACGTTGGGTCCCCTTGGTCCTGGAACACATTCGAGGACTGTCCAGGTATTCTACCCCTTCCAACATGGAGGGGACTTTCTGGATCTTCTGCAAGGGATGGTCAAAGAGGGGCAGAAGTGGGGAACAGGAGGGGGAGGAAGACTCCGCTTCCTCCTTGTACTGGGCCCGGATCCTGAAGATTTGGGAGGAGATATTCCCGGCTAGAGTAAGGAAACCCAGGTCTAAGGAGGAGGTCCTCAGACAGCCTCTATTCTGCAATCCCTGGCTAAAAGACTCCCCAGGGAAGCCAAGGACACTGACAGCAAGAGATACCAGATGGGGCAACTGGGTGGAGCACGGGGTGTGGCAGATTAAACACCTGTGGTCCCAAGAAGAAGGAAGGTGGAAAACAGGGAGGGAGCTAAGAGTCTCGATGAAGGGTTGTCACAGGCTCACAGAAAACCTGAACGACATCMTGATTTYCGTCCCGCAGGAATGGACCCAACTGTTGAGGGCACCGCACAAATGGATATGGGGAGAYTGGGCGACTTGGAGCAACAGCACAACACCGGAACATGCTTTYCGCATACATCAGGAGGKKGGTCCTGACAATCAGTGGCTGGAGGGGGAAATGTTTCCTATTTTGTCTCCCGGCGCMACAGTTAGTCCTCTAGRCAAKGCAGCGAAAGTAGCAGTYGCTATCAGGAAGAATGGGTTAAGGAAAATAAGGGTGATRGAGGATGATGAACTCACGGCGTTTGCTCCTACAACGGCCATACAGGAACTCSAGATAGACCCGGCAGAGYGGGCATGGAACATAAAGGGGAGAGTTTCAGGAATAACCACGAAAGTCAACATCCTGCGGTACACAACCAAGTTGGGCTATAAATTAAGAGGGAGATTGATACAGACGGACCAACCCCTAGCCATCAGATGGGAAAAGTGTGAGGGGATACCAAGAGGGCGGGTGGAGCAGCTCCCATGGTCAAGGCTGCAAGCCATAAGACTAGGTAAGGCGAGAAGTCTGCAATGGCTCATCTTTCACGTCGCCCTCCCAGTTAATACTTGGCTCTATGATAGGAGGAGCAGGCCAAACAGGGTAGACGGTGAGCAGAACTGCACCTTGTGTACAGGGGGGCTCCCGGAAACAATGAAACACTGCCTCATCTCCTGCGCTGAGGCGAAGCAGATATGGAAAGTGGCGCGCACTCTCTGGGACAGGGTTACGGACGTTCCCTTCCCCGAGCCTGAGGGGCAGCTACTGATTGGCACAGAGGCACCCAGGGAATGGAAGGCAAGTCACAGGTGTATCTTTGAGCTGCTGAGAACCTATACGCTTTGGACAGTGTGGAGAAGAAGATGSCAAATGGTGGTGGGTAATACTGGGATGTCCACAAAGGAAGCTAAGGCAATCCTGTACCACTTACTGGAGACGGATATCAGGGCCCAGTGGCAGAGGGTTAAGAAACAAGCGGAGAAACAGGAGGAAACGAACMCGGAAAAAGCCAAGGAAATAATCACTAAGYTTCAGAATAAGGTCCTTGCATCGGGCCGAGTAGCGACACTGGAGGGGAAAACACTCCGTTTCCAATGGTTCAGGGAGAATCAGCAGGAAACATCGCAGGACGCCGCGGGGCAGGAACTAGTACTAGACCAACCCTAAAGGCAGGCTGCTTAAGAGGGTGGGAGGAGGGAGGCACAGGCCCAGGGTCGAGATTTTAAGGGCTAACATGAGCAAGAGGCAAGGCTTAGGGTTTAGGGTTTAGTAGACCATTAGGGAAGGGGTTAAATCGTAAAGGGCCAGGAGGGATATAGCAACTCAATCRGTAGGATCCKGGGGTTCACAATGGGAGGATAGTGGTAAGGGATAAAATTCGTCRGAGAACGAAGATATYGGATATCACTGGTAGGYGGGATYAATGGGAGGAAAGGAGGTCACTTAAGGCATCTAAATGAGGGGTAGGGTTTAGGGTTTAGGGTTCAACAGACCACAAGGACGGGGGTGAACAGGTCGGACCAAGGAGAACACAGCAARTAAGGGTGGGATGGGTGTGAGGGCCAGCATGGGCACACAGCAGCATGGGAGGATCTCTTTCTAGGCACAATAGTCATAACTGGCAGAGCTGCGAAAGTAGGTCTGAGASGGAAGAGGGACTCTAGGCAAGCTGACAGTCAATCCTCCACCCAAAGTGGAGCAATCAATGCWGTTCAGGGGTCCTCCGGCCRGACRGGAGGAAGSGTGAGTTGTTTTGCAGTGATGTATCATATTTTGACTTGCCGGTGGAATAGGAACCGGACTGACGCTCCCCAGAATGGAAGGAGTCAGGACCATAAGGCCCTGTTTTAATGGGGGAAAAAAAAAAAAAAAAAAAAAGAAAGAAAGAAAGAAAGAAAGAAAGACAGTGCCGATCAGCTGCATCTTGGCTGGAAGCCCCGTTCTGCTCTACAGACTTCTTGTTGCACCAGGAAACCAGCCCACAGGAGTACCTGTCAGCGCAGAATTTGCCGTCAAGTATGATAAGATGTTGCAGCAGGCTGTCGAACAAATTCAGAAATCTCAGGTGAATAACGGATGGCCGGGGTAAGTCGAAGTCATCTTTTTTTTTTCTTTTTTTTTTTCCTTTTTTTTTTCCCTTTTTTTTTTCTTTTTTTCAAGAAACCCCCACCGGTGCTAGTGGTGCTGATAAGAACAGACACCACTACCACCCGGGGAGAGGCTCCATCTATTAGTGGGGAGCATCACCTGCTGGAAATTGGGTCCAGCGTCCCATTTTACAAAAGGGAGAATAGTTTGGAAAACTCTGGAATGATTGAAGCTTGTAAGGAATTGAGGGTTCTGCCGACAAAAAAAAAAAAGAGGGTTCTGCCGACAAACCACGGCCAGTCATAGCTGGGATGAGAGACAGGGATACGACCACTGGCAGGCTGATGGGGGTGCCAGCCAATGGCACCACCAATCAGCGAATGGCACCCCCATTGGCAGGCAGCAGGGCAGCATACAGTATTAGACACCATAGCCGGCTGGGTGCTGAGAAAGAAGGCTGGTGCCATACCAGGTTGGGCCCTGGAGAGGAAGGTCAGCGCCATAGCTTTTTGCACGCTGGAGAAGAACGCCAGCGAAGTAGCAGATTGCGCGCTGAGGAATAAGGCCAGCGCCATAGAGGATCGAGTGCTGGAAAGAAGCCCCGGCACCATACCAGGTTGGGTGCGGGGGAAAGAAGGCCAGCTTCATGACCGGAGAAAACCGTAGCAGGGTGCTAGCGAAGTCGTGGTATATATCGTTAAACAGAGCTGCCCGGTATACCGTAGGCACAGAGGGAGAAGAGGGGTACTACTCTTTGCCATATAGCCGAGCCGAGCCGAGCTGTTACTTGCAAAAAAGGGAAAGGAGAGGGGTTGAGCTGATGGTCGAGATTTTATTTTTGTTGCCAACATGGAGGAAGGAAGAAGGGGGGGGGGCAGGAATACTGTGCACCTTTTTTTTTTTTTTTTTTTTTTTATAAATATACTGTGCAACTTGCAACATGCTTGTTTTGCAAAAACACCAAGAAAGATTGTGTTGCCTTTGCCTTGTTCACGTTATGACTGTTGACAGGATGTTTCCACATGACATGGGTACCTAGTACCTACCATATTTGTCAAATGAATGTTTACGCGTGCAGTGAATCTTTCTCTCTCTTCCTATCTCACCCCTGTAGTCCATCATGAGGATTTGAGTTCACATGACCTGTGACAATCGCCACCTTCCTTCATGCTTGCAACTTTGCAGGAAAGAAAATCACCGAAGACCTGGTGATCATCACAGGCAAGGGCACTCGGAGCGAAGTTCCCGGCGTCTCGGTTGTCAAGCAAGAGGTAGCACATCTGTTGAATGATGAGCTGAGGATGTTGGTGACTCAGCAAGGCGCGCGGCATATCTCTGAGGCTCAAGACGGCCAGACAACGATCGACACCGACCTTCTTCCCACTTCTGCTGCTGCTGCTGCTTCTGCTGCTGCTGCTTCTGCTGCTTCTGCTGCTGCGGCGGATCCAGAACACACTGCGGTTAAAACCCGCCGTTCTGGCGTTGCTTTTGCCGACGATGGTGGTTCCAGTCTAGCTGCTGCCTCGACTTGTGCGGGTACTGATTTTGATCCTGCGGCTGTTCCTGTCGAGGCTTCTGAGACTGCGAAGGATGCTGGGTCTGCTGCTGAGCCGGCTCGCGCTCGCGGGCAATTTAGACGGGACCCAAGAAAGGACAAAAATCTTGGACGCATTTTCATTCCTCGCCAAGCCCTGATCCAATGGCTGACGAAGAGAACGAAACAGTGAAAAGATGTATGATGGAAGGAGTGGCAGGAAATAAGAAATGCGTTAAAAAAAATAAAAAAAAATAAAATAAAATTACGGGAGGAAGTTAGACCACCACCAGTACCTCCGAGCCTCTTTTTTTTTTTACCCCAACACACATTTGCACTTCGTGCTGAAGAAGAAGTTGAAAAAGCGAACAGTCAGCGGCTCACTTCAGAATCTTTCATTTCTTTTCTTTCCTTCCTGGCACCGCCAGCCATTTTGCTCTGCTAGTACGGTCTGTTCATCAGAAGAGTCTTCGGATTGCGTCGTCAATGTCGATTCTTAAGCTGCCCGGGCAGAGTCGTAAAGAAAAAGAAAAAAAAAAAGAAAAAAAAAAGTTGCCCCGGCAGAGTATGGGCGGCTCAAGACGGCGGGAAGGAAAAAAAAACAAAGGAAGCAATGGCAGGAAAAGAGTAAGGGGAGGAAGTTTTAAAAAAAAAAAAAAAAAAAAAAAAAAAAAAAAAAAGAAGACAGTGGGTACAAACAGCGTCTACACCTTTTCCTTTTTTTTAAGGAATCTACACCATAGTTCATTGAACCCATTATTTTTTATTTTTTATTTCTCTGATACAACTTTAAAGTTTAAAGTTTAAACAAATAAAGCAGCTATTAATTTATTAAATTCATACATCGAACGCCTTACAGCTTTTGGTAGTGGCCAGGCACTTCATCCAGCAATTGATTTTATTTTATTTTTTTCTCTCACCAATTCAGTGCATTCAGGAGGAAATTAACTAGATACTGTAGTGTTGCTTCACTCAATTTGCTGTGACATTGGGGGAGGGGGGGAGGGGGGGGAATAGAGTTGCCGAGGAGGTAATGTGTTTTATTCTAGAATAGTGTTTGATTTTTTATTATTATTTTTAAAATAAAAAGTGCTTGATTTTGTTCGGAAGCCAGTGTACTATTCTAGAATAGTGCTTGATTTGTATTGATTTATTTATTTATTTATTTTTTAAATAAAAAGTGTTTGATTTTGTTCGGAAGCCAGTGTACTATTCTAGAATAGTACTTCCTATTGTTTGGAATGAAGTGTTTGAGATTCTTCGTGTCTATTAATGTGTGCTATTGTAGAAAAGTATGTCCTATGTGTGGCCATTATGAATGTGTGCTACTCTAGAAAAGAACTTCCTAGTTGTTTGTGTCTATTAATGTGTGCTATTCTAGAGAAGTACTTCCTGTGTGTTTGTGTCTATTAATATGTGCTATTCATGAAAAGCACTTCCTATCTATTTGTGTCTATTAATGTGTGCTATTCTAGAGAAGTAGTTCCTGTGTGTTTGTGTCTATTAATGTGTGCTATTCATGAAAAGCACTTCCTATCTATTTGTGTCTATTAATGTGTGCTATTTTACAAAAGTCCTTCCTATTTGTTGTGTCTATTAACGAGTTCTACTACTCTTAGTACTCTAGAAAAGTCGTTCCGATTTTGTGTCTATTAATTAATAGCACTTCCTATTTCTGTCAATTAATGTGTGCTATTCTCAAAACGTACTTCCCATTTGTGTCTATTAATGTGTGCTATTTGAGAAAAACTTGCTATTGTTCAGAACCATCATGTCTACGGTAGTAATGCATATACTGTTGTGGAATAGTACTTGCTATTGTTTAGAACTTAGAAGTGATCGGTGAACATTCAATGTTCGGAGTTTTTTTTTTTGTTTTTTTTTTCTATATTCTTCTCTCAACTTCTGTTTCTTCGCTTTTCCTAGGTGTACTATTCAAAACACTAAAAATAGCTTTATTCTTAAAAAAAAACCAAAAAAAAAGGAAGTATTCCAGTGTTTGGAACCTGACAGTAGTATGAAATTACGATGAAGGAATATGAATGTTTCCTGAACATAGATCTTTGGAATCTTAGGACACGACGGCCCACTTGGGGAGCTCTGTTCATGCTTGAAAAGCATGAACCTGGCTGCAATAATGGTAAGGTTCGTGCTTTTCTAGCATGAACATAGACCAGTGGGCTCTGGCCCTTTTGACTGTCGCCAGAACAACCGCTTTTCCACCCAGATGAGTAGATCCAAAATTGCAGCTTTTTTTCCTCTCTATCGTCTATCGACCTCTGTGTGTGTGTGTGTGTGTGTGTGTGTGTGTGTGTGTGTGTGTGTGTGTGTGTGTGTGTGTGTGTGGGTGGGTGGGTGGTTGTGCGCTGTCATCTTCGATATACAACTCCACAAAGAGGAGTGTGACTGTGCCAGACTGTTTTCAGTGACTCATCAGGAGTTTGAACCTGGACAGACAGTCTGCCCAGGATGCATTTGACCGACTGATGGATAAGGACTCGCCGCGTCACCCAGAGTTAGCTATGCCCCCGAGAAAAAAGTGTTATACTCCCACCAACCCTGCAATTCTAGCAGACTGTCGATCCAAACCCCTGACAAGAATGAGAGAGGAGTAAGTCTGAGAAACTAGTCTGACGCAGCCATACAGTCCACCCTACACACCCTCTCATGTG